ATGACAAACAAAACGACAGTGTCAAGGTAACAAAACGACAAGGCGTGATAACGTGGAGTTAAATAATCTGTCGGGACCAGATGACCATAGGACTAGAAGCACTCGACGGGAGCCCACTCGGTCAAACCTTTAAATCTCACCCGTCTGTAAGTCACAGTTATGCCTATCGATGTACTACCGTTTCAAATGTTGGACACGTCACTATCAATCTGAAACGGATCCAGTGATTTTAACATCGCCATAAACATAAAAAGCCCGCTAATTTAAACACGTGCCAATCAGTTCAATAACAAGAGTAACGACTAGAACTGGAAACAAAAGGTTCGAAGAACCAGCAGCTTCAGCTAGGAGCTTACTCACGAGATAAAAAGGAAAAAAAAGAACCCCGAAAATTCAGTAACCACAGATCAAGAAACATCGTTAGATCTTCCGAATCTTTAAAATTAAACCTAAAATTTTTTGTTTATAATAAAAAAATAAAAAAAGAAACAAATTCTAGGTGTTAATCGACCCGACAATGACGGAGTCGAACTTGAATCTCCTTCAAGCTCTGGAGCCAAAGAGGTACTTGAGTTTTCAGTTTTCTTGTTATTACATTTGTCTTTACAGCCTGATTTTTCTCCTTTTTATTTTGACAATTTCTAGGTTTTGGAGTTCTACTGTTTCAGTGAGCAAATTTTAAAGAAAAATAAAAAAAAACTAACTGATTAAACAAATCTAACTTCTTTCCTTGGTTAGTCACCTTTTTCAAGCTCTCATTATTTTTCTCTTAAATGGGTTTTAATTTTTTGAGCTAAAAAAAAATAAAGTTGAGTGATTGGTGTACTTTTAACATGGATTTTTATAGTTTTTTTGGTGGGTTTTTAGAGTGTAAAATGTAGTAACAAAAGAGTGGTGCGATTTTTCTTTGTGAAATGTGGCATGAGTTTAATGTGAAGCAAAAGAAAGCTATGGGCAATTATAGAATTGCAAGTGTTTGTCAAGTATGTTGTTGTCCTTGTTGAGCAGGCGCTCATTGGAGGTCGATTCCAGGCAAGTTCAGTTGTTTTTTAACCCTTTGCATGTTCATTTATATTTTAAGATTGATAATTTTATAAATCTGTTTTTTTTTTTGGTGTCTGAATTTGGAGTCATATCTGATGTTGAAATTGTTTATACTTATAGTCAGGATCCTAGAGTGATGGGATCTTTTTTGTTTGAATTTTTTCTTTGTTTTGGGTCCTCTGTTTTGATTTGCATTTGAATACGTGCACAATAATGTCGACAGGGATGCCTATGGATTTGCTGTGAGACCTCAGCACCTACAAACATATAGACAGTACGTTAATATCTACAAGGTACATTTTTTCCATCTAGGTTTAATTCTTAGTCTAATTAGCTGTTGTTTGCTTTTACCATAAAAAATATGTATAAAATTTATGTATCCGCAGTTTGGTTATTGATATAGTAATTCATTATACCAGGAAGAGGAAGAGGAAAGATCAGAGAAATGGAAGATCTTCTTAGAACAGCATGCAAAACCTGCTGAACCATGCTTTTCTGAGGTGGAAGATAGAAACACATTGCAGGCTGAGGCTTCTGAGCTGAAAGAAAAGCCTCCTCCTGAGGAAAATAAAGAGAGCTTGCATGTGAAAGCTACTAAGGCAAATGAAGAGGCTGCTATTGAAGCAAAAGAAGAAACTACTTCTGAGAAGGAACACAAAGTGATTTTACACAGTGAAGCTACCCAATTGAATGAAGAAGCTGCTCCAGGGGAGGGATGTAGAAAGACATTCCAAGGTGAAGCTATTAAAGTGAAAGAGGAGGTTGATTCTGTAGATGAAAACAAAGAGACCTGGCAGACTGAAGCCACTGAGT